TCTCTAGACTAATTTCTGACGGAAAGAATTCCCAGAGAGATTAATTTGCTCTTAAAAGATTCCATGTGAAAGGGTCTAAGTTATGGTTTACTGGTTTCATAATATTTTCCTCGGCTTAGATGTTATCGGCATAGCTCTCTGGTTGAAAGTTCACAGCAATTTGGTGTTTTCTATGAAAACAATGCAAGAAATGAATAAACAAAAACCCCAAACCTTGTTTTCAAATGTTCTTTCAACCATTGAAGGGCTGTATAGCAGCAGGAGAGAAGCAAGTGTAAAACTAGTTTATTCCAGACTAGTTTGAGCTTGGTTTGTAAATTTTAAATGGTTCCTCACCCAAAAATCTTCCTGCATTAACCAATATAAAGTATCCATTGAATTTTAAAGCATCAATTAATATAATTAATTCACTGCTAGGGAAAGTCTACGTTGATTTTTATATTGATACACTTGGGATGGTATACACTTACTACGTTTTTATAATTGTGACATTTAATTTTAAAATACTGTGTGTTTGCGTATTCATATTTGCAAAGATTGATTAGGAAAGTTTCCTTCAGTGGGAACTTAAAAACAAATCAGTATAGCTCTGGCTTCACTCTTCTTTAAAAATGAAGTTGTGCCCCAGGATGTTTTAAAATTTTACTATATAAAATATTTTTTATAATCTTGTACTTTTAAAGTAAAAACTATGACAAATGTGAAACAACAGTGAACACTGAGCTGATACAACCAAAGACTGTAGTTTAATTGGACTTTTTCCAGTGAGTATGTTTATGATAATTTGTTGCCTATTTAAAACATGGTCATCTCATAAAACTTCAGTTTTAAATTGGGGAAATTAAAGGGTCCTCTTTTTTTGGACATCTATTTTAAGTACGCTTAATGTGGTTCAGTTTGAAGTCAAGGGAAGGGATGTAAAGTTCATTTCCTAGATCAAAGAAATGAAATGAGGAAGAACCTTAGAGATGATGCCTCTAGCCTCTCATTTTACTGATGAGAAGCTGGAGACCCAGACAGGCGCCACGCTGAGTCAGACATCACCAGCTGGGCAGGGGAGGACCCGTGGGGGCTGACTCATCTCTTCAGCCGTCCTACTTGGGTGCTGCCCATGGAAGGAACATGAGTCACTGTCACCCACCTCACTTTTCAAAGTTTGGGAGAGGGACAGCAGACAAAGACCACCTGGTTCAGACCTCATGACTTTCATGCAGTGCTTTTTGTTTCAAAACTTCCTCTACACTTGCTCCATACAGGTTCCAGATAGACTACTTAGGGAATCGTGATGCTAAAAAATGTAAGATACAGTCATTTCTACATGTGTGACCATTTATAAGTACCAATTGATGAGCATAGTAGAAGGCTGTGCTCTGAGAGGGCTGGTGATGACATCTAGTCAGAAAGTTCTATCTCTTTTGAGCAACTTGAGCTTAGCTCATAATGATAGGAGAGCTAGAAATGGTCCTGTAACTCCACACTGAAACTCTGAAGGGAGAGTGATGAGGGTGAAGGTCTATCTTTAATGAATCGCTTATTTTTCAGAAATGAAAAGAGAAAAGGATAAACTTCCAGTCTTCATCTTTTCCTTTCATGGAAGAGTGAGGGAATCAGTGCACAAGGCTAAATTTCTATCTAGGTCTTAAATTCCATAGATTCTTTATCACAATGGTGTACAGCAGAAGAATATATTCAATTTAAGGTTGAGGAGAAGCAAGTAATTTCGCTTTGGTAATTTTTTTTTGATAGAAGTCCATTAAAATTGTGTTTTTCTCAGCTTCCAGCAGAACCCCTACAAGAACCAAACATTCCTGAAGTGCTGGTCTCTGAGGCATTGTGGTCTGCACCATTCCCCCACACCCTTGTCCAAATAATTTGAAGGTCCTCTGTAGTAGCCTTCTCCCCTGCACTTGTTGGTCTCTGACAAAGGGAAGGTCCTGACTCCCTTGTGATTTCCTAGGGAAGCACCCGTGGCACCTCTCAACTTGGTGGCCTGCCCAGAACATTCACTGCTGTGGTGAGACCAATAATCTACAGTTTTCCAGCAATATCCTTGGTCAGGCATCTCCCTGACATCCCAAGGAGCTCTGCTAATTCCTGGATGGTGTGGAATGTGAACCATCTAGACTATTCACTGAAGGTAGTTTCTATAGCAGATCATTAAGGAGTCAGGACCATAAAAAGATAATTTTTTAGGGCTAAAAATTTTCAGCCAGGAGTCAACATTTCTCTCCCTCCTCTTCTCTCTTACAGAGGCTTCAGAGTAAATATTATAGACCCAATGCATCTGTTTCATTCAGCTGTATGTCTCAGTGGGATTGATACATTTATGAGTTTAACAGCCAATGTCTCTGACATCAGTATTTCTGTTTTTTTTCATTCCTTCTGTTCCCCTTTCTTTCTGTAACAAGGTGGTCTACTTCCTGAAGGTTCTATAGAAAATCATTTCTAACTGAATAGGAAACTGACATAAAATGCCCATCCAATGGAATGACATGACCTTGTGAGTGCTAAAGGAAAAAGGAGATGTAAAGTAAGGTTTATTTATGGAAACTGACCTTCTTAGGAAACTCTACTGGGGAAAATACACTAAGAACCCTTGACAGAATGCCACATCTTCAGTCTTTTCCTATTTGCACATTGAAAAAAGAAATCACCATTTTCAAATAAGGTATTAAGGGTCCAAATACACAGTTTTTTTTTAAAGCAGTGTTACAGAGAAAGAAGTTTAAGATAGCTATATTGGAGACCCAGTATCTAAAGGGGAATGTAAGTAACATTTCCTATATTTAACTTGTAACCTTGCTACTTAGTGGCTAAGTGATAGTGGGCAAAATTTTCCTTCCTTCAGGGAACTAGGCTTCCTATGTATAAAAATAAGGAATGTTAGTTAGAGGTCTGAGAAGGGTTTGGAGAGGAAGAACTAAATGTTTTAATTTATAAGTCGCTGTGGACTTCTTCAAAGAAGCAAAATATGTAAAAATATTATTGTTTATTTTCAAATGATCAAATCTGTGAAATTGAAAGTATCAGTTCTGAGCCATCATTTTCCCTAAGCTGCGAACTTGCGTCGTAGTCGTTAGCCATCCTAATTTAATAAAGATGCCTATGATTAGGGATAGCGAGGGGTCAAGCTCTGAATCTTCCCTGATGATGTAGTCAGAGGTGCCTGCCCCACCTTGGGCTTGCCCTGAGGACCATCATTCAAGTTAGTTACAACTTGTTATAAAAAATAAAATGGCTGTCAGTGGTGGGATCAAAAATGCATAAAGAAGCTCTTATTTTTTAATAAAAAGTAAACTTTAAATTTTAATTGCCTGCCACAGGCTTTTTAATTTCTGTGTTTAAGAAGTTTTTCTTAAAAACACAAAAATGTTAATTGAGCCTTCTTTTTCTAGTGGAAGCACAATGAGTTTTACCATGTTACAGCTTCGTGCAGCCAAGGTCCTGCATATGTCTGTAACATCACAGATCTACAACCTTATACTTCCTATAATGTCCGAGTAGTGGTGGTGTACAGAACAGGAGAAAACAGCACGTCTCTTCCAGAAAGCTTTAAGACTAAACGTAAGGACAACATTCTCAACACTCAGAAAACCCTAGACATTTCTCAATTCTTTTCTCATCGCTTATTTTACTAATAGAGGTTGAAATTTTTCTTAAAAGAGTAAATTACTATTTTGAGAGCTTGACTGAAGAAATTGAAAAGAGGTAAGGGTTCTTACAGGCAGCAAGGAGAATTAATACTCATCTGGCCTTGCAGGGCCCTGAACTGGATAAAATTATTTCACCTTTCATTATTCTGATTTCCTGTCTAGCTATAATATTTTGCACTAAGAACTAAATGGAAATAATGTTACTGAGTGTTCAAATATTTGTTTAATACTATGACCAAATACTTAAAAAAAAAACCAAAACAAAACTAACATATATATTAAATTAGTGTTCTATAAGGTATACCCTAACTCCAAGTTGATCCCTGTTAAGAATCAGGGGAAAACGCTCCAAAACTTACAATAGTCTTTTATTTACATCACTTATTTCCTCTCAAGTTAAGATATATTGCTACTCCTATCACTAATTCATCTAATCCATCACTAATAAAACCTTAAGATACTCGTTTAAAAATATTCTTAAATGAGAATATTTCTGAATATTTCTTTAATGTATTTGGTTTTCCTTTAGTAAATATAATCTACAGAAAGATGTTATGCAGAATATTTTGTACTTCTAACATATCAATCAGATTTTCTTTTGTTTCCAAAGCTGGAGTCCCAAGTAAACCAGGCATCCCAAAATTATTAGAAGGGAGTAAAAATTCAATACAGTGGGAAAAATCTGATGATAATGGAAGCAGACTTATGTACTATATCCTTGAAATCAGGTATGTCTGTTTGCAAAAGTGCTTTGTAAACTACAAAGGGCTAAGCAGTTAATGGTAAGGTATTATTAGATCAAAATTAATCATATTTATGCATGTGTGTTTATAAATAAACACAAAGGATCTTTAATTTAAGGACCTTGCATGCATCATTACGTTCTTTGCTCAATGCCTAGTGGTCAGCCTTGGCACTCCAATTATAAGGCAGATAACATCATTCTTCTCAGAAATCTGCAACTGCTTGTCAAAACATAAAGTTTTTTTTTTCCGTAAAGGAAACAATTCAGTCTTTTGAGCATGCAACTAATATTTACTTAATATCTATTCTGTTCAAGAAGCTGAGCTGATGTTTGCTGTTAGATGATGGTATGCATGTAAATTTCTGATGCTAATTTGTTCTAGGAAGATGAACAATGTCTAGTGAAAACTGGCAATGAGCTAGGTAGTTTTCAGAATGTAAAATCAGGTCAAGATCTGAAATGGTCTGAAGTGTATAGGCAACCTAGGATTCTCTATCCATTGTCAAGACTACAGTTTGTAGTGTGTTCCCAGGGACTGAAAATGTGCCTTTGATGAAAACTATACAGCTGATGAACATACTGCAACCTCAGATCCAGCCAGTATGGGGAGCTGTGTGGATCATAACTGGCTCAGATGAGCTGATTTCATGCCAACTTGAGGGGAGAATTCCAAATTCCACAGACACTCCCCTCACGGGACTATGAAGCCATCTTTCAAGAAGCTCCAAGGACAAAAGTCACTTCCATAATTATAGTCCTGGCAACTTGAGCTTTAGATCTATTTTTGCTTCATCTTGTTCTGGCATTCCCATAACCTTAAAAAAATTTTTTTTCCTGCTCATGTTAGAGAATTACATTGGCCCTATTTCTAACTGAAACCTTCTTGAAATTTCTGTTACTTTTTTTCATGCAGAGTGAAATACATTCTGACCTGCAAATACATCTTGGTGGCCTATGAATGCAATTATGTTCACCAGCCAGGCCACTCCACAGTCTTGCTAAGACCTCTGTAGTGTGTTCCCCTCAGTAACACCTTAAGCACAGCTCCATAAATACGTTGCCTTTCCTGTCCCTGAGTCTTTATTCTCAGGACTAGGACTATGGGATAATAGAGTGAATTGCTGTACCTTCAGCATCTCAAAGTAACTTCTTCAGGCAGGTCGCTCTCGTGCACCCTGTGAACTCGCTGTTGGTGCCACGGTGGTCGTGGTACAGAACGCACGCTCTGGGAGCTGACCAGACTGTAGTAGTTTCCCAGGGCAGCAACGCACCACCAACTGGGTGGCTTAAAATACAGACATTTATTCTATCATAGTTCTGGAGACTAGAAGTCAAATCAAGATGGTGGCAGGACAGTGTTCTAGGGAAGAATCCTTCATTGCATCTGCCTAGTTTCTGGGGAGTGCCAGAAGTCCTTGGCTTTCCTTGGGTTGTAGATGCATCACTCCAATCTCTGCCTCTGTCATCACATGGTCTTCTCCTTGTGTGTGTCTGTGTCCAAATTTCTCTCCTCTAAAGAGCACAGCAGACGTTGGATTTAGGGCCCACCCTAATCCAGTACGACCTCATCTTGACTGAATTACTTCTGAAAAGACTCTATTTCCAAATGAAGTCATAGTCACAGGCTCTGGGGGGCATGAATTTTGGGGGGACAGTATTCAACCTAGTATGCAGACCATGTTTATATCCTTGCTTTATTCCTTTTTGAACTTAAGTTTCCTCATCTGTAAAATGGGATGATGCTATCTACCTCTTTAGGTTGTTGTGAAGGCTCAATGAAGTGAAACAACATGTGAAAAGCCCAGTACTGTGTGTTGTAAACAGAAGGTGCTCAACCAGTATCAGAATTCTTTCTCTTCCTCAATGGCAAATATCTATGAAGACCCACTCTATACATTTTTAAGGATCTCTTTCTACTGGATCAGAGTTGTTTGGGTTCAACAATGAAATTGCCAGGGCGCAATGTGAACTTCAGACAACATACAAAAATAGTGCCATAAAGCCTTGCTCAGGGTGGTCCTGGTTGTGACCAGCCCTGCTGCCCTGGTCCTCCTGATGTTCCTGCTCATCCCCTGTCCCTCAGAGGCTCAGCCCTCCTTGTCCCTGTTGCTCTTTCAGGACAACACTCAATTTGTAGGAGTAGAACCAGCTTCCCTACATATCTTCAAGCTTAACTATGGGTTGGTACCAAGTTTTAAAACTACTGTTGTCTGAAAAGTTTCAGACTCGAAAGGTTCATTGTCAGAAAAGGCATAATTGGAAGGCCTTGAACTTGCCTTCAGTCTATGATTCTATTAAAAGTCGTTTCAGTCATGTCTTTTGAACTCAGATCTTGCTCTCTTTCCACTTTTCACATGAAGAATAATGAGGATTGACTTTGTGGTAGAGTGCAGGCCAATAAAAATGGAAGCAATGAATTTTGGAATCTCAGAAGCAATGATAACTGTGGTAGCTGAACTATTATGTCTTCCTTATCAATTTTATGTTCTGTGTTTTATCTAGGTACAGCATAAGTAAAGTACAGATAGCAAAAGAGACTGAAAATTAAGAAAAATTTAAAAATTCCCAGTTAAAAATTATGAAGTAATTGTCCTATGAGTTTGGAATTCTGAAGAAAGTTTACACACTCTGAGAGCAGGAAAAGGACCTTCAGCTTTCTTTTGGCCATTGATTATTCATAACTTTCCAGATGGCCTGAGTTGGTTGGCCTCATGCATTGCTGAGATGACTTTGTAAGACTCTGCTATGTTCTGTAGCCAAACCATGTGAGAGGAATGAGATCAAGGGCAAAGTGTGCAATAGGAGACACTCTGGAGTTCTGTCATTAAAATGATATATGGGCATCTGGAAATAACACATATATTGTCTTGTATATTTCCTATGTTTATGATTTTGCTCTTTCTTTTGCAGAAAGGGCACTTCAAATGATTCACAGAAGGAGAATTTAATGTGGAAGGTGGCATTTAATGGATCATGCAGTAGCATTTGCACATGGAAGTCCAAAAACCTGAAAGGAACATTTCAGTTCAGAGTAGTAGCTGTAAATAATCTGGGGTTTGGTGACTATAGTGGAATCAGTGAGGATATTGTATTAGTTGGAGGTATGTTACCATGTCTGTCTACATACTAGCTTATTATGCAAAGGTTCAGAGATAAAAATAAGTGAATTCTTAACATTAGCAATAAATTGAATGACTTTCTAACTTCACCAGACTATCATCCAAACTATTGAACTATTCATTTCATCTGATGTGATCTTCCTAAGACATCAATATCAGCGTGTCGTTTTTCTCCTCAGTAATAATCAGCTTATCCTTAATGTCCCCCTCATCAGGTCCATGCTCCTAGATGGACTTCCAAGGTTGTCCACAGTCTGGTTTTAATCCAGCCCTATTATCCTGTTCTGGTACCCTCATGGCCTAAAATTCTACTTTGTCTCTTCCCCAATATTAAGTTATAATACTAAATTATATGTATATGTGATACAAAATTAGTTTATAATACATCATCTTTCTAATTATATAGGCTAGAAATCTCAGTTCCTTATTTGCTTTTTTCCTCTACCCAGTCACCATCTTGATTTCTGTCTAGTAAGTTCTCTTCCTATTTCTACCTTGGCTTTCCTAAGTTAAGCTGCCATTTCTTGCCTGTGCTCTTGGCTTAGCCCCACTGCTGACAGTTAATCTAGTTGAAGTACAAGCTGGATCACTCCGCCCTTCTCTGAAATGCTTGAAATGGCTCTCCATTCACTGCCTTCAGAATCAAGTGCATACTTTTCTAGGGCATTTAAGGTCTTCCATAATTTGCCCCCAGTGATGGTTCATCTTTCCTAATATTTGTCCTTATGCTGGAGCCGTACCAGACAGGTAAAAAACTTCCATGACACTAGGTCCTCAGCCTTTGTTTCCCTGAGTCTAGGATGAAGGCTTGCCTCACCTTCCATTTGCCTTTAGCTGGGGTTTCCTTTCTTTCACTTTCTGTCAATTGAAATTCTTCTCATCCTTTAGGGCCTAACTTAAAATGAACCCATTGTGATGCTTAATTGCTGCTCCTTAGGCAAAATGAACTGTTGCATTTTATGCAAACACAGCCCATCATGCTATACAAAACCTACATCATTCTTATTGGTATTATAGTTAGTTGTCTGGGTAAGAGCTCAGCAAACCTTTTCTGAAAAGAACCAAATAGTAAATATTTTAGGCTTTGCAGGCTACATTCGATCTCTCTAGCATCTTTTTTTTTTAAATCATATTTTACAAATGTAAAAATTATCCTTAGTTCACGGGCGGGACAAAATCCCAGACGCAGCCTGTTTGCCAAGCACTGGTCTACAGGTTTGTCTTCTCTGCTCAACTAAACTACCTAAGAGCAGGTACCATGTTTTCACGTTTGTAATCCTCAGTTCAATATTCATAGAATTAAATGTAGATGAAGATGTTGTAGAAGAAATAATACTCCCAACTATACGGTATATGAAGACTGAGACTTCTTTGTCCCATGTTTCCTCAGCCATTTTAAAGAAGGAGATGGGGTGGGTATATCCCAGTGATATGTTGGAAAATAAAAAAAAAACTTGATTTTGATTTCTCCTGATGTAAATACTCTTACCGTGGATGATTTCAAGTTACCAATGGTTTAATGACAGTTGGCTTGCAAAAATCCAGTAGGAGCTAACTCAGGCATACTGGGCATATCATTGAGGCAATCTAGTTTTATTCTTTGAATTAATTGCTTTTTTCTCATTTATTTTATTAGATGGTTTTTGGATACCAGAAACAAGCTTTATACTTACTATTATAATTGGAATACTTCTGGTTATAACAATTCCACTGACTTTTGGTAAGTATAACAGATTTTAAAATATAGGTCATAAACTGTTTACTTGATCATATTAATTGATTTATCTCTTAGTTTATTTAATCTCCCACATGAAATAAATTCATAAAATTCACAGTGCTACCTTTGGCTATATATTTTGATAACCACTAACTTCTGTGAATTTTTTTTTCTCATTTGGGAAAACTATTTTATGAACAATATATCTGTATTTATACTTCACGGTACACTTTAGATAAAACTACTTGCAAGATAGTTTTAGCCTTCTTTAAAAAGTATTTACTATGGACTGGCTACGTAACAAGTGTTTTGGGGCTTATAGTGTGAAATAAATAAAAGAAAAATAACTCTGGGTATTAAAAAAAAAGTGTAGGATTAGAGGCAGACCAGTGACAATCCTTGGTCGGGATAGTTTGGGTCTCCAGGCAGACAGCCTGGGTTGGAATGAGCAGGGCCTCTTTTGCAGAAGATCCATTTCTGGCTTATAGGATTCACTCTCGCTTTCAGATGTCTGGCCAGCTTATTTCAAATCTCTGCTCATTTGTAAATGACCAGGAAAGCAGAAGAATTAGGTTAGGTAGAGAAAAGCTAGCTATTTCCTGCCACTCATTTTATACTAATGTGTTAGTCTTAAAAGTCTTTTTTTTTTTTTTAAGATGTCATGTAATGGTGAGAAGATACAGTGACAACCCCCAAAGGCATGATTACATATTGAATCCACAGAGTTACCACAGTGGGTCATATATCCTGCTTCATTCCTATTGTTTTAGCATAAACATTAATAGTACTTTCCTCAGTCCCCAAAATGTCATGGTTTGAATTATAAAATATATGGTTACTGTATCGTTATTAATACATGAGTCCCTGACATGCTGAAGCATTAAAAGAAAGACATATACAAGAAAGTCATACCAGAAAAGAACACTCGAACAGTTTAGGAAATTGTGGCTTCTTTTTTGTTCATACATAAGGGAAAGTTTAAGGAAAAGTTACAAACATAAAGTTAAACTCTCAGGATAAAGAAAGCCAATATTTCACTAAATATTCTAAATCTTTATTCTTTCCCTGTACTGAAGTCATAAGCTCTTAGCACATTGAAGCTTGAACTGAGATTTCTTTTCAGAGATTCCTTACAGATAATAAATGGAATATATTATTCCTTCAGCTAACTTGGAAAGCTAAAAATTTCAGCTGACCCTGCCAGGATTTTAACCTGTGGTTCCAGGGAGTCTACGTATTGCACAGCTGATGTTTGTGCCGCTAAGCCGGCCCCTCCAGAGTTGCGCGTAGGACTGCAATATATTTGGCAGTTGGCATATAGGCTTGACGGCTTGTCTGCTCTCCAACTGGGAAGGAGCAGTACATGAAGGATCCTTCCTCTGACCTTTGCCTGCCAACTTGTACATCACTACTGTTCAAACCTAAAATTCTAGTGGATGAACATGAGATAATTTCAGACAACCTATCGTGCTTTCAAGACATCCTATGGATATCTGACTTTCTCAGGACTTAAAGGTCTTTATTCTACTTAAAACTCATGGATTTTTGAGCGCAGCTAAACTAACCTGGTTCTTTTGCTTTTAAGAGTGGTGCATGTGGCTTTACTGGTAAGATTGTGAGAGCTCATGAGAAAAGATTGAGTGATTCAAATAATGAAAAGTAGCAATTGTTTAAAAATATGTACTGTGCTGAGGGCTCATACTCATAAACACAAAATTGAAGCAAGGGTTTCAAAATAAGCATCGACAGCCTTTGCTTTGCAACATGATGTGCAACATGAGCCGAGTGCTGGGAGCAGAGGGAAATATAAAGCTGTAAAATACAATTGCTTACCTCGGGAGCTTGCCGTTTAACGAAGGAGGTAAGACATACCTGCGCGAAAAGATAAATAGGGAGATACGTGTTAAACAACAATAAAAGGCAGTAGTAGTGCATGAAACGCACAAGCCAGTGACAAAACAGTGCTCAGAGATGCAAGTGGTCTTGTAAGTCAGAGATGAGAGATCCGCCAAGGTTGCAGAGGTCTCAGAAGGCATCCCTGAGGCCGTGGGGCTTCAAGCTGGGCCTTTAAAAATGAAGAGGGGTGCTGAGGGTATTTTGGGTTTGAAAAATTGCATTAGCAGAGGTACTTAAGATCTTTCTCTGTGTGGTCCTTCAGATGGAGTTTCACTTGAGTAAAACACTAACCTGTTGAGTACAGAAGCTACTAAGGAACTAAAGTACAAATTTTAATCATCATCTTACCGAGCATCCTTGCTGTTTTCAACTTCTGAGCCAATATTCTAGTATAGATGGGTGATCTTAATGACATAATTGTATTTTAATCTTTGAAAAATACTACTCATGTTTTATGATATAAAAATAATATTTGCTTGTTATATGAAGAAGACAATACAAATCACCCATGATTCCACAACTAGGGAGGACCACTCCTAATGCGTGGTAAATTTCATTCTAATAACTTTTCTGTGTATTTGACCATGTGTATAGGAAAAACAATGGACAGTCTTGTAGTCACATTTTAAAATAAAGTGTGCCATTCTATTGAAAGCATTCCTCAGGTCTGCTGAGGAGTATAACCTGAACATACTCGGATTCAGAAATGAATTTGATCACTAATAATTATTACACAAATATGTTTTGGTTTATTTTGACTTTAGTTTATGGGTGATTTTGAGAAATAAGTTCTGATATTAAGATACTTCAGCTTGCTTATAACAGCAATAAGAAATAGATCAAAATTTACCCTGAGAAGTGGGGGAAAAAGTGATTTGGTGTAAGTTACCTTTTTTTTTTCTTTATGGCTTTGTACCTGGATTTAATTAGTTTTTCTATTACGGGTATATTTTTTTCAATCAAATTCTGTTATTTTACCAAGAGTGTTCTTCTATATAAACATTAAAAATGTTATTGTTGGCATTTCCTAAAGAATAGGGAAGCAGTGTTTTATTTTGTGAATTATGCTCTTTTTCTCTTTATAGTCTGGCATAGAAGGTTAAAGTATCAAAAAACTCCTAAGGAAGGGCTGACAGTTCCCATAAACGAAGACAAAGAGCTGGGCGAACTTCGGGGTCTGGCCACTGGAGTAGGACTGGCCAATGCCTGCTATGCGATACAGTATGTAACCTGAGCCATCTCCATGGACACCTGGATGGAGGGTGGGCGGCTCTCGAGAGAGTGCCCGTGCATGTCACATTGTCCAGGGCTGTCCTGGTTCATGCCCATTATTCTGGCATATTTTAAAGTAACATCCCCTTTCCCTCTCAAATGTGACCTGTGATGGATAGCGAGTTATGTTGTTATCTTATCCTAAGAAAAAGAAACAAAACCAATTGTTTTCCAGTGTGTTATCACATCATTTAAAAAGAAATAAACCAAGGAGATAAATACTACATGAAAGCGAGTAGACGGTAGCGTGACTGATTCAACTAGAGGCAATTGAAGAATTTGAAGTTCTCTTGTGTGTGCTATTAAGTCAGTCTTATTTTATTTTCAGAAGTTGTATGGTGATTGCCTACAGAACTCTAAAATAGATGAGTTTTGAACTTCCACCGTCATTATAATTAGAGAAAATGTATAAGTGTCTCATTGTACAAGATAGTATATTATGCTCCATGCAAAAAGGAATTATGTAGTCATGGGCTCTGCTTCAAGAAATTAATTTAAGGACATAGGACCAAAGGATTTGAAGTAGATACAGAGGTGACTTTTCCTTGAGAAAATATGTCATGCATGTGATATTCAAGATTCTCTTTCAAAAACTCAAAGCATTTTAATGGATTTCCACCCGCCTCATAATATACCAAGTAAGAAGCTTGGCTTTCTAAAAGTTAACCTGATGGACATGGAGTGATTTTGTGGTCCTAGTAAATTTTGTTTTACATGAGAGATAAAGTGTGAAATAAAGTAAAAGCATTTGAGCTCAGAAGCCCAGCTGTATCTATTACTAATTTGCAATAGCTTTTTACACAAATTGGTACCCTGAAGGAATTCATTACTGGTAACTTTAACTAAACAAATTATAGTGAAAAATCCTGAGGCAATGCACACACAGGTGTGATGTCAAAATGAAGGTGCCTGGAATTGAAGTAATATGCTCTGTTTGCGTTTTGGAATAGAGAAGGAATATTCTGGATGGTGGACTAGGAAAGGAATAGGAATGCAAACATGTCATTAGATCACATGGAATGCACTGTTGTGTTGCAAAACCATGAGATTTCTCTCCCTCTTTCTCATCCTCTTTCTCCCTCAAACACTAACACCAACATCCACTTGTAAACCGTACGTATTTTGGGACCGAAAATACTGTTATTTTCCAGTACTCTTCCGACGCAAGAGGAGATTGAAAGCCTTCCTGCCTTCCCTCGGGAAAGACTGAGTCTGCGTCTCTTGTTGGGAAGCGGGGCCTTTGGAGAAGTGTATGAAGGGACAGCAGTAGACATCTTAGGAGCTGGAAGCGGAGAAACCAAAGTAGCAGTGAAGGTGCTGTGAGTCTTTTAACTCCTCGATGTGTCAGGTCAGCGTATTTCATGGATTTATACGGATCCAACTATGATAGAAGATGAGTGATCTTAACCAAAAAAAGAGTGTAGAAGCCTACCCATGGCTACAGAAATCACATTTCCCCCCCATTTTCTGCATAAGCTCTGTTGTGAACAGTGACCTCTGAGGTTAGTAATTAGCTAAGACTCGGCAGAAAGTTTTTCCCTTCAAATATGCCACAAGAGAACCGGGGTGCTCGGTACCAGGGCAGAGAGTAAAGGTTTACGCTTGCTGGCCAGTGTCAGTTGCAGCTATGCAAGCCTGCCACTGCAGCCAGAGCGGCCGCCGTCGGTACGTGAATGGGCAGGTGTGGCTGTGTTCCAGTAAAACTATTTATGAAAACAGAAATTTTAATTTCATGTAATTTTTATGTGTTATGAAGTACTGTTTTTTTTTTACTTTTTCCAGCCATTTAAAAATGTAACAAGTTAGTTATACCTCAATAAAAATGGGAAAAATAAAACAAAAATGGGACAATTATGCTCAGATCTTAAGCTATACGAAAGTAGGTGACAGGCTGGAATTGGTCCACAGGCTGTAGTTTGCTGACCCCTGTATTACACAATTATCCATCATGATGTATTTGATGTAATTTTAAGGAAGCACTGGATATGCTCTCATATTTTTATAAAAACTTTCTTTTGATCAAGGGATGATGAATCTTTTACATGATGAGTAATAATCCTGGTCCCTGCTTGTTAGGAATTTATTGCTTTGAGCATGGGCTATATATACAACCAGAAAAGTTGGCAGAATTCTCTCTACTTCCAACTGATAGCATTTGAAAGCCTTAATTTACTCCAGCCTCAACTGGTTTAAACCAGTGTTTCTTTTTCTCACATAACAAGATGACTGCTGGCTGTGGTGGCGTACTGTGTCAGGTCAGAGCCAGCATGTCTCAAATTCTCTCAACTTTGCACATGTGTGGTGCCTCATGGTCCCAAGATGGTTGCCGAAGAATAAGGCATCACATCTTCATTCAGGACACAGAGAGGGGGAAGGATGGTTTTGGGTGTATTTGTTCAGGAAAGTAAAAGTTCCCCACACACTCCTCTCTCCCTCAGCAGTTTTTCCCTTACATCTCATTGATCAGGATTGAGTCACCTCCACTTGCAAGGGAGGCTGGACAATTTTAGAACACAATTTTTATGATTAGGGCAGATATTACAAAGCAAAACAGGGGTTGTCTCCACTAACCCACTGAACTCACCAAAACGCCTGCTATTCTGATTCCTGGCTTATTTTTATGTTGCACAGACTTTGAAGAAGGGCTCCACGGACCAGGAGAAGATTGAATTCCTGAAAGAGGCACATTTGATGAGGTATCAGGGCAGCTCTGAAATAATTTCCCCTTTGTGTAGGTAGGAAGCCTTTGCATCTAATTGGTGGATGTTTAAAATGACCTGACATAAGAGATCATGCCCCAGATAAACATGGCTGAAGTTTAAAAGGAGATATGTTTGTAGTGACAAGTATTGCACAGAAGCCAGTCTTCTGAGCCTGGGCACAGGCAATCCTTAGGAAGAAGGGCTTCCTTTCTTTTACCTTCAATAAGAAGCGTGTTCTGCAGGTGATTTCAGAAGCTGTTCGGCTTTAAGTATGCTTGTGTTCTTCTAAATGTGTAATAATGGGTCAAATAGACTGAGTAAGGGAGAGTTCTCTTAAGTACAATGATGTCAATGAAAATATCCCTTGTCTTGGTAAACTTGGCTTCAAGGTTAGAGCCAGCTGATGGTCATGAAAGCTACTCAGATACATCTTAATACACCTCGAGGCAGTGGTCGATGGGGTCCCAGGTTTGGAGTTCTAATCGTTAGATTGGGGCTTACTTGCTTTGACATCTTGAGAAAACAGTTGTAGCCAAATCTGTGTGTCTGAATTATTTTTCTAAAAGGGAGAGAATATCACATACTCATCATGACCAAAACCTAAATGTTTTAAAATATCTTTTGAAGAAGGGTATTAGTTAAAAATGCTTTCTTTTCCAAAACATAAAATACTTAATATAAACGTCACTTCCAAAACTCCCCCTGTGCTAACCATATGCGTTGGCCACTAGGGGCTGCAATATTCCCTCTGTAAGGCAATGACACAGACCAGTGCTCGGAAAAGGAGGCTTTCATTTATGAGAGGAAAAAAACAATCAGGGTTTTGAAGGAAACCAGAGATAAAGAATTTCTCTGTTCCATAAAGGCCCTCTGCTAGCACTTTGTGGCCATCATGTCATCCTGCCCGTCTCTCTCCACCCTTTAGCAAGTTTAATCATCCCAACATTCTGAAGCAGCTTGGAGTCTGTCTGCTGAACGAACCCCAGTACATTATCCTGGAACTGATGGAAGGAGGAGACCTTCTGACCTATTTGCGTAAAGCCCGGATGACAACGGTAGGAAACGGGGTCCATGGTATTGGTTCTGTAATGCCAATGACCTCTAAGTTCCTTTTCATTTCCTTTCAGTTCAGTACGCTGCAGTTTTGGCTGATGGTGGAAACTTAGAAGACTTCTGTTGAAAAAATCCTTGTATTTCCTTCATGTTGGATTAGTAAAACTAGAACTCTGGGCTAATTTATGGTATTTTCTGGCAATTTGAGCCTGTTTTTAGTATTTAATAGAAAAAACAGGACCCCTCCCTGCCAGAATCCTGTTTTCTGGGGAACAGAGTGTGTGGAGCTGGAAGATGCATCTCCTCCCGTGCACTTAATCTGTATGCCTGCCTGTCCTATCTTGGTATTTTCAGCCCTTGTGTCTTTACTGAGTACTAGTCTTACATGTTCCTCCCCAGTTGACATTTCTGTGTGGATTTTCGCAGGTATCTCAAACTTCTTTTGTGAACTCCTGGTTTCATACCTCCTCCATCATGCCATCCATCTAGTTCCTTGATTTGTCTTTCTCCATCCATGCTTATTGGCCCCATAAGCCCCAATCCATCCTTTTTGTCTCCCCAGTGCCCAGAGCAGCCCCCGGCTCAGCGTGGACACTGGAAATACGGGGAACGTGTGGGGAATGAGGGCTGGGGGGTGACAGCACCCGCAGGAACCTGCTTTAGATCTCAGATGAGAAACACCTGAGACAAACAAGGAACTAAAATTTAAATCTGTAGATTTTTAGATTACGGCTTTTATTTCTATTGAAGTACACATTTGAAATAGATGACAAAGTTTATGGTGAAAAACGGAAGTCCATGCTCTATCTCATCCCCACATCCCAGGCCTCTATATGTTCCTTCTGGTATTTACCTCCACATTCTGAAACACTCTGCTTATATTGCTGCACAGTGAATTTTCAGCCTTGGGAGAAATCTGTCGACTGCAAGGATTTAACCTCTTACTCATGCGCCAGCCCTGACCCTACCAGCTCTGCACACGGAAAACTTCGTTTCCTCCATCCTCTGACAGTTACCATTTGCAGATAAATCAATATTGCAGGTTTACATTACTGACTAATTATTATTTGCAGCTGACTTACTCAAATACTATGATTGTGTGTTTTTTCCTTGAGTAGTTTAAATACATGCCCCATTTTTTCCATTTCCATTGCTTCCATTTGCTTTTTTCTATTTCCATTTCCACTTGCTGTGAGACTTAAATGCTCTCACAGAATTGTAGCCCTGTTCTAATATGGTTAATTACATATCAGATAATCCAGCTCCTCCCAGTTTTTTTCCTGGACACTTCCCTCCTAGAGTCAGTATACAGGTGCTTGTCCTCTGGGCATCTACACTTCTAGATTAACCCTGGTAATTTCCATGTTGGATCTTTGTTTCCTCAATTCCATGACTTCTTTGTTCTGTTTTAGAAAAGAGAAAGCACACAAAGTAAAAATCTTTTTTTTCTCTTTTTGAGAAAATGTTTTTTTCTTCCCTCACACTTGATTAATAATTTGGCTGGATTCTAGGTTGAAAACCCCTTTTCCTCAAAAATAAATCTTATGTGTCTTTGTTTCCTAACTTACACGAGTGCCTTTAAAACGTTGTATGCCATTCTGATTCCTCGACCTGTGATCAGTGTCCTGCTTTTTGCCCTCCTCTTTGGAAAATTTTAGGAACTTCTCCTTATCTGTGGTACTTTTTACTCATCTGGACGCTCAGCCTGAAAAAAATGCCTTTCAGTACTGGGATTTTTTTAATATGTATGTTATTTCTTTGGTAATGAAGAAAACTCTTTGTTCCCTCTGTTTCCTAGTTCTAGAAACCCTATTAGCTGGATAACGGTCAGCTTTGTTTTATCCTTTTTCTTTATTAGTTGTTTTCTTCTATTTACTACTCTTTGTACTTTTGCTCTCAATTCTGGTAGATTTCCTCAACTTTTTACTAGAATTAAAAATTTTCATTTTCCACAGACTCATTCTTATATTTTGACTGCCTCTTAAAACAGTATTGTGATTTTTTTTCCACACATGCAAAATCTTTTATCTTTCCTAGGATACTAATTATAGTTTTTTTTAAAGTGTTAATTTGCTTCCTGCATTGTCTTGACTTCCTTTTTGCCTCTTTGTTCTGGGATCCGTTTGTAATGTGAGAAGCTTCTCTCAAAAGCTTGGTAATTTGTGGCTGGTCTTCATATTTAATAATGAGACCTAAGAAGCTGATTGGAGCCTCTGTGTCTGCGGCAGCTTCCTTTTGGTTGTCAGGTGGGACCCTGCTGTTCTGTTGGGGTCCCCTAATGACAGCATCTGGATGTCTTCCTTGGCATATGCCAGCTTCCCGGAGAGGAATCCGCTGGTCTCCTGTCTGGGCAATAAATGCCTGAGCCTCAGTTCAGGGAGTTGAGAGGGGGGAGGGGGCTGGAGGTCTCAAGGCTCAGAAGGAGGATGCTCATTTAATTCCCTTCTCCATTTTCAGCACAGTGCCTTAGTATGGCTAGTATCCTGGAACTTGGAGGTGGTCTGGTTCTGTGTGTGTGTGTGTGTGTGTGTGTGTGTGTATTTTGCAAAGGAAAGCCTCCTGCTGTGATGAGGGGGTCCAGTTAATCCTTGAAATAAACTTTTAAATATTCATCTTGCTTTCAGTCCTGCCCCTCACTCTGAGTTCAGAGATACTTGCTTCCTCCGATTCCAGAGTGTTTACAGGGTTCTATGGAGAAAAACATCACTCACTTCTTGGCTTCTGCCTCTGCCGGCAGCCAGCTTGCATCTCTCTTGACTCTGCTCAATGACCACACCTATGACTGCTTTCCTTCTTCTAAAATGTTTCATTGTGCTTGACCTACTCTCCTGATCTGATTATGCTCGTGAGATTTTAAGATTTCCTCTATGTTATTTTGGTAAGGTTTGGGGAGAGAGTGGAACGAAAAATGTATAAATTCAATTCCCCACCTTTAGCAAGAAAGTTTCTCTGCAGATATTATTTTAGGTTTTGGGGGGGAGATGGGCAGAGGAGAAAGGACAATGAAGATGGAATTGAAGAACACAAGGAGCTGCTTTTCGCAAATGAGCCCTGTTCAGCCGGTGTCCCAGGGGTTATGATTGGTTCTCAAGGGCACGTCCATTCTGCTGCTGCCTCTCTTGCCGGCTTCATCTCCCTCACCCCAGCCATGCAGGGTAGGGCGCCGTTAGGTGCTGAGTGCCAGAGCAAAGGTGTGGGGCCTGCAGCGGAGCACCACAGGCCCCGAGCCCTCGTCCTGCTAAGTTCATTTGGAGCAGCCAGCTCTCCACGGAGAGTGCTCAGAGGCACCTTTCCAGAACTGCCACAAGCGTCCTTCTCCACATCCCCACTCTGAGACTGCTTTGCTGGGCTGAATGCATAAGAATTGACTGCAACTGAGTTTATAAAGCTTAGTTTAGTCCTTCATTTTCAGGACCTCATTTCCTGCCTCCATAAAATGGAATAGTGAATCAAAAACTTTCTCTGGCTCCTTTTAGCTTTGACATTCTAAGGTTGTATTAAGTAAGAAAAAATTTTAAAAAGATCAGTCTAACAAAATAATGCAAACACATAGCCAGATACAATTCAGTTCATCACATTTTGGCTAGATGTTTTACGACAGTGGAGGATGTGGCTCTTGCCATGAGGGATCTTGCCACGTGGTAGAGAGGTAAGTCTCACATAAATAACTCTTTAAGGTAGAGAGTGGGAAGGCCCATGAGGATGGAGGGAGTATACGGCTGAAGCTCAGAGGAGAGAGAGATGATTTCCAGCTGGAGAGACATGGGGAGGCTTCAGGAGGAGGTCTTCTGTTTGAGACACGACCAAGGCAGGAGCTCAGTCTCTGAAACTACCCTATGTGAGTCGTGCAAGGCTTTGACTGGGGAATAGGTAGAGATGGAGGTTCAGCATGTCCAAAGGGTTTGACAAGAGTTGACAGGCAGTAGCCCCGGGCAGCACCTGGAGCTGTGGAGGCACAACATGGGGTGATGAGGTGTCCCAGCAGGTTGTCACAGCGACGATCAGAAGCAAGTTATCGTTAGAGATTCAGGCAGGCAGCAGCCTTCTGAAAATCTGTCAGCAGGGAACAGGGCACAGGCCACCAGATTGAAGTTCAGGAGCATGATTCTTGGTGAAGAATGTCTTCAAGAGTAGGTTTTGCCAAGAGCAAAGCAGAGTTCCACTCACAGAGGAACCCTGAAACAGCTGGGACTCAGACACAGGTCGTGAGGTGGGCATCTTGCAGACCTGAGCAGGGCTGCAGGGGGCTGATTCTTGGGATTAAGATGGAGCCTAGTTACCAGATGTAGGTGTGGGTGAGAGGGACCATGGCAGTGTTGAGTCCCAGCACATCAGATTCTTCCTGATTTGGAGACATGAGCTTGTCAGGGGAGGCAGAGGGAACAGCATTTAAGAGCACCCATCTCTGAGGAATCGAGGGATTTCAAGGTTGTGAATTCTTTGAGATGCTCAGTGAAGGATCTGGATGGAAATCAAGAATAAGGAGGGCATTCCAGGGATGAGAGCAGGGATAAGGGAGAGAGGTTGAGAAATGCAGAGCAAGTATAAGGAACAGCAAATGGGCCAGGATGACCAAGGCACAGATTGTGAGAAGAGAAACTATGGAAAATAAATGGACGCCAAGAGAGGCTGGTGCAGCCTGGGGCTGCCAGGGAGGCTGTGCTCAGGAATCCTGTAATAGACTCTGCAGGCAGTGGGTCACAACAAAGTGAGCTAATTAAAGCACAGGAGGCTGGAGACATGGGACGTTTGGGAAGTGTCAGATAGGGATGACAAAGGCTTGAAACAGGGTAATTGCAGGGAGATGGTAAGGGACAGACAGTATATGAATATAGCCTCCAGGAAGGAACTTTGAATTTTTTCCATATGGTACTAATAAAAACTTCAACTGGCTTTTTTCATGTAGAAATCACTGCAGCCAGTGCAGGCCCAACTGTGTATTTGTGCTGGCTCTCTTGGATGAGAAGAGTAATCTGTGACCTTGAAATAGAGTAGTGTGAGCAGTTTCTATGGGGCTCATATGGAAAATAAGGCCATTGTCATGACTGACATGGTAGTGTGATATTGGGCCAATAATTAAACTAGCCAGCACCAATTAAACTATCATTATTACTACCTATCCGAGCAGTTACCATTTATTAAGTGCCCATTATGTACCAGCAGATTACATATCTTATCTCGAATCCTACACAGTCAATAATATTACTCCCATTTTACATCTGAGAAAGTTGCTTAGTGAATTAAGCAATGCCAGCAAGTTCACACAGCTCATAAGTAGCAGAACTAGGTTTTAAGTCTTGGTCTGTCTGACCTGACACTCTGAGATCTTTCCCATAAAGAGTCTACATTGCCTCTGCTTACTAGAGAGTCTTGTTTATGTATATTTTGGAGGAACAATATAAATTGTTCTTTTCCTCTTTGAATTCTTGGGACCATAACTAAAAATTTCTTTAAACATCATATATATGTGTGTACATGTATACATATGTAGCCATATATATATATATTTTGTGCAAACTGGAAAAGTACCTGTAATTTTTCTTTTATTTCTTACAGTTTCATGGCCCTTTACTCACCTTGGTTGACCTTGTAGACCTGTGTGTAGATATTTCAAAAGGCTGTGTCTACTTGGAGGAGATGCACTTCATTCATAGGTACAGCGATATTCTGGCTACAAGGTTCTTATGGGTATTGGCACCATAATAACCTATAGTTTGGGTAAAACGGAAATGATAGTAAAACATTTTCATTCATTCAAAATAGCAATAATTTCCATTAAAATCTCTCTTCTCTACAGACCTACTAGTGTTACTTCCCTGCTCTCTGGAACTTTGTGATTGTTATTATTACCAGTAGTATTAAACCCAGCTTCTGCCACAGGGATCTGGCAGCTCGAAATTGCCTTGTCTCCGTGAAAGAGTACGCAAGCCCATCCCGGATGGTGAAGATTGGGGACTTTGGACTTGCCAGGGACGTCTATAAAAACGACTACTACAGAAAGAGAGGAGAAGGCCTGCTGCCTGTGCGGTGGATGGCTCCAGAAAGTTTGATGGATGGACTCTTCACTACTCAGTCTGATGTATGGTGAGCTCAACGGGAGGACACAGAGAAGTGTGGGCAGAGCCATCCAGTGTCAGAGCCACCGGGGATAGTAAAAGGTCATCTAATCTTGTTTTCCATGTGAGGAAACACGAGACCAGAGAGGTTAAATGATTTGCCTCAAGCTGAAGTGAAAGCTGGTGGTCAGGAGGGACTGTTCCTGGGTCTCAGCAGTTTACACCCCTCCCTCCAGTTAGTTTTGATATTTGATCTGACTATGCATGTGAAGTAAGTGCATTTTCTTCAGATACCTTACTACTCTCCAAAGGTGTAGAGGCTGTAAGCAATAGGAATTGGTACCTATGAATTAATGTCCAAGTATGGGTCCAAATGCTTACAATTTGGGGATGTTTGGTTATTAATTTACAAGTAGACTTTAAATCATATATCTCAAAGGACATGGGGGAGGTTTGGACAGCTCTTCATTATTTGAATAGAACCCCTCATTTTTGCTTGTTGACCCCAAACTTCTGACTAGAGCTGTTCAAAATGTAAAGATTTGTCCAATAACTTTTAAGCTAGACTGGATCTCTGCCAAACTGGGGATGAGATAAATTTGGTCCTCAGTGTTACCAGTTTTTAATTCATGCCTTCCCTCTCCACATTTACTGGCACTCAAACTCAGAAAAAAATGGTGACATGCTTTTTTGCTCACCCCTAGTGTGTCTGCATAATGAGTCTATGAGAGCTCCACTCCATAGGTAGGTTCAGCCAGGGAGAAGGAGCTGAGTGGTGTGTGTGTGTGTGTGTGTGTGTGTGTGTGTGTGTGTGCCCCCACTAAACCTTCCTATCACCTTTGAAGTGTCACTAGTAGGTAGTTGCTTGTTCTACTTTTTTGTGGGGTCAACTTGCTTTTAAGTCTCCCATTTGCCTTTTATGGGGCCAGTAATGCCAATCACAAAGTAGACTCTGATAGCCCCAGGAATAATTATGTTGCAAAAACCACCATAAACATGATGTTTGTAATAAGTATAATTAAAGCAAACTCTTTAATATCTCTAGGTCTTTTGGAATTCTGATTTGGGAAATTTTAACTCTTGGTCATCAGCCTTATCCAGCTCATTCCAACCTTGATGTTTTAAACTATGTGCAAACCGGAGGGAGACTGGAGCCACCGAGAAATTGTCCTGATGATCTGTAAGTTAATTATATTACCATAAGCACCCAAAAACAAAAACACATGCACATGCACTCTTATGCCTCACTGGTGTGGTATTTTAAAATAAAAACTGGAATCTCTATATTTGTATATCCTACATAAAATGTAAATTGATTGTGGCACTTAATTTACTAAATACACGATGGTATTTATAGGCATGATATTTCACTTTAGAAGCAAAATTTAGAACAGCAGAATATGTTTATACTCTAGGTTAAGTGAATTCTAATAAATAAATAAAAGTTCTTTGTGTGTGTGTGTGTGTGTACACATACTCATTTTATTTTGGAAGATCCGATTTGACTAACACCTTAACCTGCATATTAAAAGTTTCTGTTAAATAAAAATATATTGTTTAAAAATTAGATTGCTCTTGATAAAGCTGATATTGGGGTCTAGTACTACTTACCTATATAGGTTGTTATCTATTTATGAACTTAACATAAAGTGACTAAGTATTAGTGGTTCTATCAAATTGATCCTGGCAACTATTGAATTCTAATAGATTTGTGATCCTCAGAACAGTAGGTGATTTTGATCTACTTGTAAAGGAAAAACAAGCCAAGTTATTTTGCTGAGTGCTCATCTACCTTCTTGTGAACAACCTTAGCAGAAATATCAAGTCTTGACTCTTTTTCTAAGAGGTGTTTTATGCAGAAAGTTTCTAAAAGAAGACATAGACAACAAGGATAAAGTCCTCTGTTCTGGGCACTACACAATGCTAAGCATTATATGGAAGACAGAGGAGTTTAAACCAGGGCCGTGGTACTGCAGCATCTCAGAATGTATTTTGAAAGAAAGACCCACACATGCAGCAGTTGGATAACAAGCCAACATGTGATAAAGTGCTAAACTGTGTGGTACAGACAAGTGCAAAAGGAATTAGCAGTATGCAGATACACACCATGGTCGTACGGCCTTGACTGTGCTGTGTTATTTAGAGGATTATTCAGACTGGAGCCAAAGGATGATTAAGAACTGGGCACTTTGGTTGGACGTTCTACTGGTGAATGTTGTTGTATTGTTTAAATCTTCCAGCTAGGCGAAGATTTGAATCACTGTTTCTGATTTAGCTTTTATAGCCTCTGGACTATTTACAGAAAGATCAGTTATACATATCCCTCAACAAAATTTGGTGGTGGTGGTGCCTTAAAGTATGTTTCATGATCCGTCTGGGGCATATGGGAGAATATTCTCTAATTTGGGGGTAAGAAATTTATACAAAATTTGAAAACCTTTAGTTGGGCTTGAGGGAAACCCCCAGAATACCTAAGTATTGAGTACACTTTTATTGAAGGGTTAGCAAAGTCATCACTGTTTTGTGTCTCTTACACATTTGTTGAACACTCAGAAATTTCCCCCCAAATTTCAATTCTACAAAATCTTCCTTGTGCTGTTAGAATTGTGTCTGGCATATCTTCCCCTCTAGGAGCTCATCATAATCATGCAGTTTTGGGGGAAGAGCACTTTAGGAATCAATCACTGAATTATGCATTTTGATTGACATGTACATTTGTTTTGTGTGGGGACGAGAAAGGTGGATAATTAATTGCCCTATTGTGGGGAAAAAATGCAGTTATGTTGAACTTTGCTCTGTCCAAAGGTATCCAACAATTCAACCAGAAGCAGGAGGAAGGAGTGCTAGAAACATGCTAGAAATATATTCCTAATATAAGTGGGAAAAGATAATATTCTGTATAATTTTATCTTGAATAATTATTCAGTTGGATACACTATTGCTCTAATATTTTAAAAATATAGTTTCCTTGAAGCCAGAATTTCCATCGCTGGTTTTGAGGTTCATATGAAAGTAAAAGTAAACCATGCGGCAAGCCCTCCAAGGGCTGCATGCTCCAGTCCCTGCAAAGGGTTAATGATCTTTCCCCAACCAGGAAGACAAGCTGTCCTGAGGAAACAGAGCTCCCGGTGATGCCATCCAATCTGGCCATGGCCTTAAGTTGTCACGATAAAGATTAACTACTCTCCTTAGAGGACAGAGGGAACTGATTTTTATTTGAAGCTGTTCTCTGAGATCACAGTTCCAGCTTAGAGGGTTGAAAGGCTGTGCTGAGCCAGGCTACACCTTCTATTCACTGCTTAAATACTCAGCACCTGGTTGTACTCTGACTCAGGTGAGCCCATAGATAGCTACGCAGTGCTCAGCTATTCACGGAATGTGAGAGTTCAGAGCATTCCTGCCCTTCTTTCCATAGCCTGGGATGTACCGTGGAAAGCCAGGCCCTCAGCATTCTCTTCAGCTTTTAGTTTGCACAACAATCACATCACTCTCAAGAAGAAACGGGATCAAAGGGCAATCGACATCAAGTGAGAGCTCTTTGGGGTTCTCTGACACAGGTATCACGGGGGCAGCTGAAACGGCTGGAGAGTCTCTCCAATCTAGGAGGCCACAATGGGAGAACATGGAGGCTCACCACCTTGTTCTCATCCCTGAAGAATGTGTATACCTCAATGCTAATTGGGTCTTTCCAGGATTGGGTATAATAAATAAGGGTGATCTTCAAATCTCCATTTTATGTGCTTTGCTTAAATATCTATAGAAACTCGTCCCCTTAATACTAAAAGATGCCATGGAGTTTTCATCTGTTGAATTTCAATTGCCTTGTGAATGCAAGGATATTACTCATAGAGACTAATAATGAAAATGGGTAATGAATCTTGTGCTATTTTGAAAAAAACTGAAGCAAAGAGGATTAAAGGGTTGGCATGGTGAATGAAAGAATTTGAACAGGAATACTTAGTTAAATGATATAGTTCAAGTACAATGAGTAAGTATCTATTTTGAGGTTGAACAACCAGCCCGGGTAAATTTTAACAAAAGTGAAGGACCTATCAGTTTATTTAGAGTGACATGCTTGCGTATTTGTAACTATACCTTAGCAGAAGTGTTAAATGAATGATACTGAATTGTGACAAGTGCATATTTGTAAGAAAAGACCTCTTGCCAAAGGTGTAGTCATTGTTATTAATTTACCTGAAAGATGTAAGAAATGCATTTTTTAGGATTGATAACATTTTAAAAGCCTAGTCATTTTATTTTATTGCCAGTTTAATGCTGTTTAAGACCACACATTGTGACTATTGCTTTATAGAGCACCTCTTTTCTTAATCCAGGACAATTCAGTGCTCATTTGTCCCTGGATCGCAGGAGAGAAAGGTTTTCATACCATCAGGTCATATGTTTTTGCCATCAAAGAGTTAAGAATGATGATTGGAGTCAATGTAAATTAAAGCCTCCACTGAGGAAAAATTAAGAATATCTGCTTAAATCACTTGCATAGATTAAATGAGAGGCTGAATTTTGGGAGGGGAGTGTGAGTGGGTGAGGTGCACAATGGCCAAAGGACAACTCTAAGGATGGCTTCTCTCTCCTCCCTTCGTCTCTCCTCTGCTTTCTCCTTCTTTCTCACTTTTTCTTTCTTTCTCTCCTTCTAAATCATCTCCTTTAAGTACTGTGAATACTTTGTGGAATGAGATGGGTTATAAATAAATCAAATAACTAAAAACTTCATAACTGAAATGTGACAAGTCTTAAGAGAGCCTATCTATTCTTTGGCAATATCTCTAAGTCACAACTTTATTTTCAGAAGGGAGAGGCTTCCTGTGGCAAGTGACGCTTTCCTTTTTCCTCTCACCTCTTAGGACACCCTTAGGTTAGTCATCAAGATTCGACTTTATCTATTGGTTTAAATTCTGTGATTGAATATAAGTTACATGGTGTTATTTCAAAGTCAAATTGTCCTTCACTGAGTTCTTTGTATCAACTGTTTCTAAAAGCCATAGATTATAAATAAATATGTAAAAGAGTATGATTCTAACTTTTAAACAATAGAACTAAATTTGGCACTCTATATCCAGAATGTAAGCTCCTTGTAATATATATGAAAAGAATCAGATCAATACCAAAAAACAGATCAATATTAGGGGTCTCCATGATACTCTGGCATTAACTCTGACCTGCAGTGCTTGTCAAGAAATGAAAGAGATGGAAGTGGAGTTTGCATGATGGATTATTACGGAATGGAGACTTTAAATACAATACCTATGATGATTTCTGGGTCATTGTCACCTAGTGATTGAATTTTTTTTACTCTAGCTCCATTGTCATTGCCTTAGTCCAAACCATTACCTCTTATCTAGTCTTCTTAAATAACTTCCTTGCTTCCTACTTGCCCCTCTGCAGTCCATTCTCCACGTATATCAGCTGGAGTCATCCTTTAAAAATGCAAAGGTCATGTCTGTTTAAAAACCTTCAAAAGCTTCCCATTGTGGTACCACAGCATCCGGCTCGGAGCCTGGTCTTTGAGACCTGCGTGATCTCGCCTTCCTCTTCTGACCTCATCTCATATACTGTCCCCCTCCATGACTGCTCTACAATTTCTTTCAGATTCTAAAATGTGGCAAGCTCTTTCCAAATTTAGGAATTTACACATGCTTTTCTCTCTTCTAGAGTGTCCCCTGACTCCAATCCCCACCCCAACCCCAGTTCCCATGAGTAGCATCTTATTTTTCCACAAAGTTCTTTGGCTTAAATGTCATCTCTGCAGAGGGTCCTTCTATGAGCCACTTACCAAAAATGTTCTGTCTCTAATTAGAGCTCACATTTAGTTTCTTTAGTACTTTTTTTTAAAGAACTTATAATTTGTAATTGTGTATTTATCTGTTGATATGGTAGTCCTAAAATTTAAGAATACTTCCCACTTTGTTTCTTCATCAGTTTTTCTCTCTCTGCCCCAATCTGCCTGATGGCTAGTTTCGGAAAGTAAAAGAAGATGGCAGGTACTTGACCTTTTTTTGTAGTCAATAGACTTGAGCCGAGCTCCGAGGTGGAAGAGCGTTATTGTGAATCTTTTAGCTACTTGTTAGTATGCCAAATGCCAGGTTTGAGTGACTAAACCTACAATTCTGTATAAGGGTAATCTAATAAAAAAAGAGGGATTGAGTAGAAACCTCACTCCTGTTAAGCCCCGAAGAAGTGTAGGAAGAAGAGACCTTGACAGATAGAGGTGAGAGCGTAAAGATGTTGGATATTTAGGCCCTGAAACGTCTGTATTCTTCAGTTAGATTAGGTGTGGTGACACCAAGGGCAGGGGGCAAGTGCCCATTCCTTCCAGTTTGGGAGGATGGCAAGGAGATCACTGAGCAGGGGATCCCTCACATTGACATGGAGACCTAGCATCATGGACAGGGTAGAATGGCATGTCCAGACAGAGAACATGGAGCTTGCATTTCCAAGCCTCCTTTGTTTTCCACGTAGTGTGAACATTTTGTTGAAAGCTGGAGATTTGACCAAGGAGCATCCTGGGGGCATGTAACAGAAACAGGAATGGATTCCCTGGGCCTTGTCAGTAGATATAGGACATGATGTAGTCTCAGAGAAACCTGCAGCTAGAGAGAGAAAAGGAAGGACCAGTTCAGTGGGGAAGAGCCAATAGAACAGGTAAGGATATCATGGACCGCAGAGAGAAGCCGATGCCTATAGGATGGACCAGACCAGTCAGTCCCTATGGAATTCCTCATTATTCCACTCTGAGACTAGAGAAGGTCTGGAGGGCACAGTGAGGTCCAAAGGCTACTTCACTGTGCCACTCTAAGTTCCATAAAAGTTTCCCCCTACATATATCCTGACACCATCTTGGAGAAGAAGACAGAGGGAGTAGGAATAGCCTAAAAATAAGAGAGACTGAGTTATTTTTCAGAAAAGACTGAGGATTACCTAAAAAGAGTGGTTTAAAATATTGGAACAGACTAGCTTATAAATGGCATTGTACTAAATGAAGTTAATTTTCTTTTGCTAGCTGGGGCTCTGAGAATTAGGTACAGAAATACAAAAGAGCTCTGCTCCTATGAGTTGGAGTGGATAAACTTTAACACCTTCTTAGATTTACCGTATCTATCATATGAGGACAGGAGCCACACCGCCACATCTCAAGCTGTTGATACACCACTCGTATACAATGTCCAAGAAATCTTAGCTAAAGGAACGAATGAACACTAGTTGAGTGCTGCACAGACATTTCTTAGGAAAAGATACTGTTTAATCAACCATCTACTTATGTCTAGGGTAACTGAATCTCTTAATTAACCTGACAGTGTAATGAGTAAAAAGCATTAGAACTGAATCTGATTTCTACCTCTGGTTCTGCCACTAAATATCTGTGTGGCTTGGAGTAAATCTTAGATTTTGTTTTAGATATCAATGTATGAATGTAAAATTTAATCTCAGCTTCTTCAATAATTTTTATATCTGTTAGTTCTCTTATGTGTTCAGTAAACATTTTCCAACTGTCTATCTATCTATTCATTTGGATTACTAACTTAAAATAAATATCAACTTTTCAAAAGAAAGGCGTTTCTAATAAAGGTAGTAATATTGCCAGTCTCTATTAAATAAGAAACAAAAGCTTTTGCTCTGGTTCAGTGATATTAATTACAGAAAACTGGCAGTAACTCAATTTCTTTTCCTTCTAAAATGACCTTACCTGGGTTATCAGGAATGATTGCCTAATGATACCCAATCACCATTTACTTTTGTGTCTTTACCCACACATCCAGGTGGACTTTAATGACCCAGTGCTGGGCTCAAGAACCTGACCAAAGACCTACTTTCCATAAAATTCAAGACCAGCTTCAGTTATTCAGAAATTTTTCCTTAAATGGTATTTCTCAATGCAGAGAAGCAGCAAAATCTAGTGGAGTCATAAATGAAGGCTTTGAAGGTAAGTTGGATTCTTCTTCAGAATTTTTGTGTTTTCTCTCCAGTGTGAACGGAACAAGGTTAAAATAGGAGGTACGTGGAAGACATCTTACGAAGACAAATACACTGGCACCATCCTCATAATTAAGTACTTATTATACTCCTCTTTGAAAAGAATTTTGATTTGTTCGCTAAACTAAAAAAAGAGTAATGACCTAAATAGACATTTCTCCAAAGAAGCCATACAAACGGCCACAGGCACATTAAAAGATGCTCAATATTGCCAGTTATTAGAGAAATACAAATCAAATCCACAATGAGGTATCACCTCACACCATTAAAAAGTCTACAAATAATAAATGCTGGAGAGGATATGGAGAAAAAGGAACCCTCCTGCACGGTTCGTGGGAACATAAATTGGTGCGGCCGCTATGGAGGACAGTATGGAGGTTCCTTAAAAAAACTAAAAATAGAGTTACCATATGATCCAGCAATCCCACTCCTGGGCACATATCTGGAGAAAACTCTTAATTCGAAAAGACACATGCACCGCAATGTTCAAAGCAGCACTATTTACAGTAGCCAAGATATGGAAGCAACCTAAATGTCCACAGACACATGAATGGATAAAGATTTTATATATATATATAAAATGTTACTAAGCCATAAAAAAAGAATGAAATAATGCCATTTGCAGCAACATGGATGGACCTAGAGATTATCATACTAAGTGAATAAGTCAGAGAGAGAAAAACAAATACCATATGGTATCACTGATATATGAAATCTAAAAAAAGCTATGAATGAACTTACGTACAAACTAGTAATAGACTCACAGACATAGGAAACAAACTATGGTTACCAAAGGGGAGGGGGGATGGGATAAATTAGGAGTTTGGGATTAACATATACACCCTGCTATATATAAACAACAAGGACCTTCTGTATAGCACAGAGAACTATATTCAGTATCTTGTAATAACCTATAATGGAAAAGAGTATGAAGAATATGTATATACATATGTGTGACTGAATCACTATGCTGCACACCAGAAGCTAACACAACATTGTAAATCACCTATACTTAAAAAGTTAGACAATCTAAACACTTATAGGCCCGTTAGTAAGGGAATGATTAAATAAATTTGTTTCATATTGTAAAATGGCCATTTAAAAAGAATGAGATAACAGATACTGCCATAGTTTAAGGTTGAATAAATAAAGAAATTTGGAGGATATGTAAGAAAAAAAATAATGATATGACCCCTGGATTTATAATCTAGGATAGCAAGGAGGAGAAGTAACATGTTAAACTATATTTTCATGAGGTCTGTTCTCTCTGTCCTCCACCACTCATGCCAGTTTGGACCTCAAGTGCCAAGTTGCCTTAATTATAGACTCTTAGCTGATGGTAAATTATCATCGTTGGTCTATGCAGTGCTTCTCTTTCATTTTGTTTGTTTGTTTAGTCCTTTTATCTTTATATTCCTCTCCTGTTCTATTTCCTCCCTCCACTTATTAGGCAGCCATTCTAATGTATTTAAAGTGTATCTTTTTATTTATGTATTTTCCTACAAAATGTGTATTGTATTGTGTTATGTAATGCTTCTTTTCTTTCTTTTTTTATTAAGCACTATCTTTTAAAGAGCCATCCATGTTGCAATGTATAAATCTAGTCTGTTGCTTCTAACTATTAAATAATTTTGCTATGATTATTGTAGTCGGTCATGCCTTGCTAATGTCTAGTGTGATTTCACTGCAGTATTTTGGTATTAAAACACAGTAGTCACTTAATTCACTTCCAAAACCAGATTTTGTAATACATTTGCCCAATTGGCTGCAGACAAATGAATTTTAAAATGACCCTTCCCAGGTGTTCTAGAACTCCTTCCCATGTTTAAAAGTTTGCTGGACCCTTTGTTTGTTTTTTAATGCAAACATTCTTGCTTAGAAATAAACCTGTCAAGATGGACCATGACTCAGAATCTCTCAGAAATTAAGCCTCGTGGTCTTTGCAGTGATTGATTATACACTGGCTGATGGCTGTCCTGGAGTCATCTCTCTACAGTGAGACCTTCACCTTGAGTGATACACTTGACTAATAATAGCAGGGAAAAATAAGAAGCCCAAGGACAAATATCTGCCTGTCTTGTTTGCTGTGTTTCTGGCTACACGTTTTGAGTAACTTTGAATCCATCACATGAATGGAGGTGATGCTGATCTTGTGACTCCTTTAGTAAAAACAGCTAAGTGACAGATTGGAAAGGGCTGTGTGTGCTTTGAAAAGCACAGTTTATAATCCTCATCAGAATAACCTTGTTGATGGTCTCAAATTGGCTCTACCTGTGTTCTCATCATGGAACTGAGCTGATTCCAGGAGTGTTGATGGTGGAGCCCTTAGGAGTTATAACTGCAAGGTACTCCCATCCTTTTGGAGGGTTCTATACATAGTTTTGCCTGTGTGAAGATCACACAGGTTAAGGCAAAACATACCTTAAGCTATTCTAGATACTATAAAGTCCTTCTCATTTTCTAAACATTTCCTTAATGTATTTCTCCAAGTGAATTTTTGATAAAATTAAAAAAATATTTCAACAGATACTTATTGACTTTTGTACAAGGCATAGTGGTAAGCACCCGAATTTAATGTGTTCCATTGGGATGCTTTAAAAAAAAAAAAAGAAGGGGCAGGAATATATTATTTCCCTTGAGAAACTAGAATCGGTTTCTTTAATTTTGTATGTAAAGTGTAATAGTGAGCTCTGCTTCTACTGGAGATTTCGAGAGTTGTCCTTGTCATAGGACTGTGTCTCTGTCCACAGGAAAGGTGGACCTCACCAGTTTACTATTGAATAATACTGTTCTGCTGAAGCCATTTGAATCTGCTCCTGCTCTGCCTGGTTCTTATTTGTTGTAACTTCATGTATGGAAACTTTAGAGGAACCACAATCTGGAGTGGTCTGACAATATGTAAAAAGAAATCTTTTGTTCCGGAGATAGAGGAATGGCAGTAATTGGGCTGAGTTGACTGCGTAGATGTCTGAAAGGCAAGGAGAACGTGGTTTTGCTCACTGGGCATTGAAAGTATGACTGTCTTACCGAGTCGCTGTTCTTATCTCTAGAAAACACTTCACTGCTAAGCCTCTGATTCAGGTTTGCTTGTGAAGATCACTTTTGTGGCCCTTATAAAATTAAACACAACCATTGATTGTCTTCTTAAGTGTTTAAAAAAGGATTTTATGTTATTTTATAATCAATCAAAAGTGACTGCTGATCCTTTCTGACTTTTTCTTCTAACTTTTCTAGTAATTAATCTCTGTAAAGAAGCTTGCTATATTATTTTATAATTGTATTTAAAGATCTTTACTGTAAGAATTATTTTTATTGTTTTAAAAGCATAAAAGCATCTAAGCAGAGTAAAAAGTCAGAATCTCTTACTTGCTCTCTGTCCTCACTCCCCAGTGCTAGCCATCATCTGCAGTTTGATTGTATACTTCCAGGTACCTTACATGCATATACAGCCATTTACAGATAAGATCATTTGTATGTGTTTGTATATGTACTGACTGGTCATCTAGAGGAATGCATTGGATGTAGAGTCTTGGGTCAGTTCTCCACCATTTTTTTCTTACAAATGAGCTTATTTTTTTTTTCAAAGATTTGTTGAACAGACGATTTATAACTGTATCTTCTGCCAGAAGCTGGGAGGTATTCTATGTTGTCATTGAGAGGGAATCCATGTTCTGTGGTAGTCCCAAGGAAGGATGACAAATTTACACCCGTGTGTCAGAGGAAGAGTCAATAAAAGTCATTGAGAGGTTAATCCTAAACTGAGTTCTACAGAGAGGTGAGAAAAAAATATCTCAGCATAAAACCAGCAGAATGTATAAAGGCAGGGAATAGTAAAGAATAGGGTTTTCACAGAACTGCTGATAGTTGATCACACATGAGGGTGGAAAATGGCAAGTGATGAAATTGGAAGGATAGTGGTCACACTAATCAGGTAAGAAATGAAAATTAATGAAAGTAGAAATAACAAATGGTGACAGGTACAGAGAGAAGGATATAGAATCCAGACTTACCACGGGGGTAAGTGCTGTAGGATTTGGCATCTAATTGGGTGAAGAAGAGAGAGGAGACCATGGTGAATCCCAGTGATTTGACAAACTAGATGAAACGCAGTGCTCTTCGTAAAGATGGGGGTGCACGGGGGAGGAACAGCTTTGCACATGTTTGGTTTGAGCTGAGTGTGGGAGAAACGAAGAGGCCCAGAATTCGGCTGGAAGGTCTGTCCTGTAAATAGAGGTAGTTGAAGTCAGTGGTGTAGATGAAGTCATTCAATTAAAGTGTATAGAATAAGAAGAGAAGTGAGCAGTGCATTGAACCCAGAAAATAGCCAGTATTTGAGGGACTGACAAAGAAAGATGGTGGGCACTGGGAGGAGAAGTCAGGACAGGAAGGGGAAAGTTGTCATGGAAACCCGGAGGAGCAGGGCTGGCGGAGTTGGGAGCGGTCCAGTGTTGCAGAGATGAAAAGTTCCGTAGGGATGCAAGGATTTTACAGTTGACTGCTATTATATTTTAAAATTCAACTCTTTGCTCCTGGAAGCCATTCCTTCTAATGTGTACAGATCTTTTGTAAAAATCACAGAGGCAGACATGGTGGGTGTTAGAGGGCTTAGCTTTACCGTAGGAAGTCTCCATGAACCCTTGAGAAAACCTTTTTTACCATGTAGCACTACCTAGTTTATCTGTGAGGCTGAGGTAAGTAACAAACAATGCTCACAGCACATATACAGAACAAAATCCTTTTTTGTGAACAGCTTTTCATTGCAATATTAGCTAATTTTATTTTAGCACTTTTTAAAGTGTCCCTCATGCTACATGGGTTAACTCCTTGAGTCCGCACAATAGTCCTATGAAATGAACATAATATCACCATTTTACAGATGAAAAGACCGAGGTTTACTAACTTGTCCATGGTCACACTGCTGATATGGGGCTGAAGTGGGACTTTGCTCTCAGCCCTCATGGACACACAGCTCTGGTAAGGAAACTGCCCCCAGTCTCTTCCCACTTTGATATCTTAGGTGTGCTGTGGACCTAGGGATAGTGACTTACTACTTTTGGCCTGCTAGAAAAGATACACTAATCTCTCCTGGTTATGCCAAATTTATCTAGGTGCCAAGTTGTTGACAGACTGAATTAAAATTCTAAACAATATTCCAAAAAAAAAAAGCAGACATAACTAGGCAGAATAAGGTTGTAAGAAGAGTTCAACAGGGAATATAACCAAACTTTGATAATTTAGACAGAAATAAGCAATTCTGTGCTGTAACAGATATATAATTCTAGTACAAGAGAAATTCTCATTCTGTTATTTACAGTGAATGGAAATCCTGAAGATAAGGAATGGAAAGAGATACAGGAATCACCAAAAACTCTGATAATTTCAATGTAACTGAACAAAAGCAGCAGGGAAGAGAGAGGAAATAGAACGAAAGGCAGAGTGTCCATATTTGCAAAGGATAGAAATCATGGAACAGTCTCTTTGAGGCAAGCCTAAACTCAAACTTCTCTTTTTAATAAAAGAGAATGTGCTTAACAATAGTTTGCTGCTTTGCAGACTAGTGGGCATATTTAGCAAAACCATGAGAAGTCTGTCTTCATGTTATTGTCAGAGATGTGTAAGAAGATAAGAAAACCATTGGGAGAACTTTTGTGAAAAAAAGAAAGAAAGTGCTTTAGGATTACAGGGGGTAATAATACCAGGCCACTGCTATGGTCCTACTGACCTAATGGGGTGGAGAGGGGATAGAGAGGGAAGATTAGTAACATATCTGGGCATCTAGTAAAAATATCCCAGTGACTTCATCCAAACATTTGTGTAAACATCACCTCATCAGTCCCAGTGAGTTCTACAGGAAACAAATCTAAATGCTCCTCTGCTGTGCTAAACATAGCCAGTCAGCCGGCATATGTCTCGTCTGTAAATACCCTGTCTTACTTGGAAGTCTTTAGTTTAATATTTCCCTCTTAAACTGAGAGTTGCCGTGTCTGTGCTGTCTTTACTCAGGATCTTTGCTTTAAGGACCTGCAGGTTTTCTATTCAGTAGTTTTTAAACAAAAATAAAACAACCCACCCCATCGCTCATAAATTCTTTATGTAATAAGAAGATGTAGTAATTGCTGAAAGCTTGTCAGGTCAAGTTACTAAATATTGCCCTGAGTACTATGAACCAATGAAATACTTAGCTAATGATTTTTTTTTGACACATGGCACCAGAAATTGTAAAGAGAATTTATTTGCCTTATGTAAAACATTTTTTCCCAATAACTCACTATAGGCAAAAAATTTAATCATGTTTCAGTAGAAAGTTTCCCAGTATGTTATTTAATGGGCTAAAGGTATGACAGCTAAGTAGCTGATGACATGAATAGCTGGACCTATATTGTAGATGTACGTTTTTGTCGAAATTCTAAACTCCTGTAGCCTAATCCCTTTAATCCCTTTAGGCATGTCATCTTAATTTCCTCAATGATCTGGGCCAATAGACCATTTAAAGTTAAATATTCTACTTCTTCCATCTTCTGATGCTTTCCATTTCTGTATCATGCACAGCAAGTTCTTTTGAGCTTCTCAGTGGCTATCGGTACATATTGACAATAATCTTAACAGTTGGCTCTTTCCGTAGATATTCAGCACTTAGGCAATGGCCAACCTTGGCACCTGATGAAGTTATTTCTGTGGGAGAGGCATTGTACAACACTGTCTGTCTGTTTGCATGGTTTGCAATACGCTACAGTGAAGTTTGAAAGTGAAGGGGAACGTGAGATGATGCCAAAGAGCCCGTGAGCCTGCAGCGCGGCCTTCTCGTTCTTCAGCAGTGGGGGGCAGTCCTGAAGCGAAATGAGGGCATTCTAATAAGTCAGAGCAAGGACAGTAGTTCATGTGCTTTTATAATAAAATAAGCTTTTTAGTTCAGGTTTGGAACCTAATAAACAAGCAGGTCCATTCAATTCCATTAGGAAAAAATAGGTGCAATGGTGCTTCCCTTTGTCCTTTGATAATATTTAGATTTTCTCAATATTACAACTTAAATACATTCTAAATAAACCCAGTCTGGGTGTAAGGCAGGGCTAAGTGCTTGGCAGCCCAGCAGGCCTCACCCTTACATGTGGATGCTCTCCTGCTGGAAGGATGAGGAGGAGAAAGGGAAGGACCATCATCTATTGACTGAAATGTTTCTGATTTGTAAAATGTGGTGCTTTATGAAAGGACAGTAATACTTCTGATCGTAAATTTTTCATCCAGGTAGTAATGCCCAGAGACTGGAAAGCATTGATAAAAACAAATAATTCCCACGATATACATTTGCATATTTATCTTACTGATTCCCTAGAATTTAGTGGAATGTTTTGGAAACTCTGCTATTAGGTTTCAACAAGGATTCTTATACTTCTCGAAGTAAGAAGGTCAGTTTTTAAGTACAGAAAGACAGGAAAAAAATGAGCATAATTGTAATGAAGGTCAGTTACCCTCTGGCCACCTGCTTTTCTGCTGCCACCCACACTGCACATTGATGAGTGTCTGGAATTTGTGCTTCTCAAGGATTCCCTGCCTACCACCTCCACCTCACACAGCACAGCAGCTCCACCTTCCCCTCAGGGAGGTAAATGTGAGGACACAGAGTACAGCAGACACTATGGGTTTAAATTAATTCTAGGTGTGTGACCTTGGGCAAATCATTAAACTTCTCTGTGCCTCAATTTCCTCCTCTGTTAAATGGAGATCATACTAGTACCTACTTAACAGGAGAAGAATGAGTTGATATATGCAAATAGCTTAGAATAGTGCCAGGTACGTAACAAGTATCTGTAAGTATTAATAACAACATCAACAATTATTATTATACTCCATGTCATTTTTCCTCTCTTTCAACCCTGCCACCAAAACTTGCCTGTGTCCGTTCCCTCCGTAACTGCCTTTTGAGGTCATAAGCCTGTTAGTTCTAATGTATATGTCAGTTAGTACTAATGATTTCATATGCCACTCGTCCAGGGAGATGACTGAGGGGGACCAGCCACACTGGCTGCCTCGCCCTTCCCCCGTCCACACCCAGCGTGCTCCTGCCTCTCTTCCCTGACCTCTCTGCCTTGAATCGTCTTCCTAAGATATTCACGTGACAAATTCCCTGGCTTATCAGGTCTCTTCTCGAATTTTGCCTCATCAGAGAGGACTTTGCTGACCCCTCATCTGAAATAGCAGCCCTCTCCCACCACCACTGTTCTTCTCTTGTCCCTTTTGTTCTGTTGGATTTTCCTTTGTGGCACTTACGTCACCTGACACATTTTTAGTTGTCCACTAGTATACTGTCTGTCTCCCCCCCATTAGAATGTCAACCCCAAACAGCAACAGAGTTCTTTCATTCATTACTGTATCATTGATACTGAGATGACAGCCTGGTATGTAGTAGGCACCCAGTAAATAATGCCCTAATAAATGATTAAATCACTTGACCTATAGAAATACATCTTTAAAGGTAGTATTTTAGTCGATGTGGCATCTTAGACAAGTGGGGTCATCCTAGGGCCACTTAGTTCCTGTCACAAAGACTGTGACCCGTTTCACCTGTCAGGGCAGAGTCAGTCACCTCTGTGCTCTCACCACTTATACGTTCCTTTCTTATGTAAGCACACACCACCTTCTGTAGCACTATTTCTGCTCCCCTATGAGACCTCAGTAGTGTCAAGGACAGGGCACATGTCCTTTTGACCTTTGTGTTCCCTGAGTGGTTGTCACACATGTTTGCGAACCCACGTGTAAGGCTGGTGTGGTTCTAATTCTCATACAGCCAGGATGTCACAAATCAAGGAAATCAAATCGATGCTAGAATAACTTTTATATTTTTTTCACAGATGAAGATGGTCATGTGATTTGTTTGAATTCAGATGAAGTTACATCTGAAGCCAAGAACCAAGAAGGGTTAAACTATATGGTACTTGCTACAGAATTTAGCCAAGGTGAAGCTAATTCTGAGGGTCCTGTAGACTCCAAGGAATCTGACTCTCGTGGTCTGAGGAAAGAAGAGAAGGAACCACGTGCAGACAAAGATATCTGCCAAGAAAAACAAGTGGCTTACTGCCCTCCTGGCAAGCCCGAGGGCCTGAACTACGTCTGCCTCACTCACAGTGGATATGGAGACGGGTCTGATTAATAGCTCTGTTTGGGAAGCGTAGAGTTGAGACAAACACTCCTCCCATTAAGTAGTCACTGAAAGAAAACCTGGTAGAGTGACAGATGTGGTGGTGTGGTGGTCTATGGCTCCGAATTAACACCGGAAAGTGCCTGAATTCTAATCTTGGTTCCAAGAGCCATTTGGTTTTAGTGTGACAATCCCCACGCCAACTGTGTAACCTTCAGCAGAATTCTGGGGTGAACCTTTGAGCATTTGGAAAGCTTAGTAAGACTCACAAGTCTGGAAGGGAAACTGCTCCTTACCCTAAGGGCCCTTAGGCCATTGCCCACCCCCTTCAGTCTGGGCTATAACAGAAACAGTTAGATGGTTAGAGACAAAGCAGGTTTGTTCTGCGACCTGAAGGAGGAGGGTAGAAGCCTGCTCAGGGGAATGGCTGAACTACAGATTATCCTCAAAGGGACAGAGGAAATGACCAAACAACTCTACCCACACAGAAGGAACCAGCACCTACGACATGAGAAGTCATTTGGAAAGCGATGACTACAATGAAAGATGGTCTTTAATGACTCCTCTAAAATATTTTGTATTTTGGAGGCTTGGAACAGTAGCTTCAATCATATTGTAAATAGGACAATGAAGATCTCTGTGTCCTAAAGTTTAGCATTCCGTGATCTTTCGGTTGTACATAAATTGCTCTGTGATTTGTGTGCTATTACAGAAATTAGGTAATATAAAGATTGTTTTTGTTTGCCATATCTATTTTATATATAACATACTTAAGATTACACTCACTAGCAAATTGTCCTTAAAATTAAATATAAATGATTCTATAATGTTAATTCAAGCTATGTGATTTTTAGCGACCATACAAAATAATAAATACCTGAATGAGAACTATTAAAAAATTTCTTCAGAGAAATACTCTGATTTAAAACCAGTTTTTTGTTTTTGTTTTTGTTTTTGCAGTTACTTATTTAAATCTGAATGCCTCAAATGCTCTAACAGTAACACTAATAAAAATACTCTCTGTGTTATTTAGTTGCAGTGTACAGGATGTTCACGAGATACAAAGAACACTTTGATTATAACATTTGCTAAAAACTACTGTGGAAGAGGCTCACTTGTCCGTTTCCACCTTGGATCACTTAGTTCATTTTTAAATTTGCCCAGTGCCTGAGAAGCTGCCCAGATGATGGGCTGTACAATGAGGAGGTAGATGCAGGGAGGTCAGTGGGTTGGTTCTGCTGTGAACAGCCCCCAAGTAAAGGTCCAGGATTTGTGGCCACTCAACTGCACCTTTTATTCTGCTGAACAAGGCAGAATATTTTCTCTCTAATCTTCTGACCTTCTAATGAGCATTGACCATTCTTTTCAATAGCCTGGCCTGTGACGCTCCTTCCCGTGTTGGGGATTTCCTCTACCTTTATCTTTGGAGAGTGCGAGCCAAGATCTCTTGCAGCTTCCCCAAGATCTCATGCAGCAAGAAGGCAGGCACCGCTCAGACACACCCACCCCTCAGACACACCCACCACAGGCTACTAATTGAAGCGAAGAAAGCAAAGAAACAGGGACCGGGGGAGTCTTCCCTGGTGACAGTGGCAACTGAGGTTGGTCTGGCTCCATAGTATGCAGCGTCTGGGCCTGGAGCCTGGGCCTCTGGCAGCTGGGGTAGCCAGACTCGACTAGTTCTGCTGTCTGCTTCTAGCCAGGGCCCCTTGTTCCACAGCTGCCGGGTCGGGTTCTTAAGCCCTCTCAGGGATTCTGTGACTTACCTCCATATCCTTTTAATAAATGCTTTTCTTTTAAATCAGCCAGAGTCAGTTTCTGTTTCTTGCAGCCAGGACTTTTGCTCTGCCCGTAGCACGGACCTTTATTTTGGAATATACAAAGGGATCAGAAGTGTATAGGAGAATTGGATTTTCAGTACAATAACATTTGTACTACAATTGGGACAACAGAGAAATTTATGGAATATCTGAGGAGAACAACCTATAACATATCATGTTTCAGCCAGGATATAAGTGCAAATTAGTAGTCTTTTAAAAATTCATAATAAATAATATTGGTAGAAATATTTAATGCAGCATAAAATAGACAGTGGCTGAAATCCCATAGGTAAAGTTAAAGATCAAAGTAGTTGATAAAATATAAATGACTAGTAATACTGAAAATTATGTAAGTTAATTCTGGAAAAATTAGATTTTGTAATCAAGACGGAAAAAGTTGGCCATGGCTAAAATTGGCACTTGTTAAAATGTGTTTTTCACTAAAAATTAACAGAAGAATGAAATCTTACTGATAAATTTTTTTCTCTGCAAATATGGCCTGGGGATATTAGACTTGGGAGAAATTGCTCCCAAAAGCAGAAGTTATAATTGGTCTAAACAGAAAAAAGCAATGCAAAAGCCAGTCAATAAATCTCACCTTCATTTTAAATTATTCAAGGAAAATAAATAATCCATAAGAACAATGTTTAAGTTGAAAGTGAAAAATACTGTTTATAATTTAACATTGTCAGTTCAACAAAGGTTTACCTAGATAAAAATAATATGTTGCTACAATTCTGATGAAAATGCTTTATTCAAAATGTCCTGGAGAAGAGCCTGTCCCTCGTCCCAGATATTCTCTGTGCTGCGAACCCATACTAGTTTTCCCTGCCTGTTGGAATGTTCTCACCTGTTCTTCCCTACTTATCTAAATCCCAGTCATCCTTTAGGATCAGCTCATATTCCAGTTTTTTGGAAAGGCTTGTCCCTAGCTCCCTCCCCTCTCCCTTTGTAGAATTACTGTTGCCCTTCTTGCCTTTACATCTCATTTGCTGGCAACCACATGTATTTCCATCCTGTTTCTATGTATTTTTGCCTACTCAAATAAACTGCAAGATTTTCCAAAGCCAGGGTGATGTCTTTTAACCCTTTATATCTTCTTTAAGCCAAAGCAGGTGTTCATATTTAATGGATGAATTGTCTGATTTTCTCATCAACTTTTTTCAAAACATTTCACATGTCTTCCATTTTAGCTCATGGAAAGGATGCCAGAAGATTGGTCTATTGCCAAGGGGGACTTGAGAGGATTCTTTTGACCCTGACTTTTCTCTTGAGACCTAGATATATTATAGAAGTTGGGGGACTGCTTTGAGGTTCAGCTCAGACTTAGGTGAAATTCTGGAAGCCCTTGAAACGATGGTAAAGGGTGTTAAAGGAGGCAAAAACTTATTTTATTGTTATCATTTCTTCTCTTTCTTAAACCCAAATTTATCCACAGAATGGGCTTATGGAGGTGGCCTTGACTTCTCTTTGACCTTCTCTCTTGGGTAAAGACCAGCCCATCCAATTTTGCTTTTTGCATTTGGTCAGGGATATGGGGTGCCCAAATCAGAAGACCTGTTCCAGTCCTTCCAGGCTTCTTTACAACCAGAAGAAGCAAGGGGCCAAAATATACGACCCAAACTATTATAAATATTTTCTTTTTTTTAATGTTTTAATTTTTTTGGTAAATATTTTAGACTATTTCCTTCCAGATTTGTTTTTATTCACCAATGTGAGGTGTTTTTTTTTTTTTTTCCATGGCTGGAGTGGTTGCTGTCTCTCTCCTGGTTTTCTTTTTCCACTTAACATTATTGCAAATGCTTTCCCCCTTATCATTAAAAATTCTTTGTGAATGCTTCTAATGGCTGCATAAAATCCCTCTGGATGGATTTACTGTAGTTTACTGCTCCCTTATAGATTCACTCATTCATTCAATAAATAATTATTGAGTGTTTACTATACAGCAAGCATTTTTACACGTGCTAGGAATAGAACAATAAAGCTAAGTCTCTGCCTTGATGGAGATTACATTCTAACATTCCAGATGGGCGAGAAGACATAAATAACCACCTCCCTCAAATATGACAATACATTAATAGGATAATACACCATGATCAAGTGGAGTTTATTCCAGGATGCAAGGATGGTTCAAATACCCACAAATTAGTCAATGTGTTATACTGTTTAACAAAATGAATGATAAAAATCACCATCATTTCAATAGATGCAAAAAAAGCATTTGACAAAATTCAACATCCATTTATGATAAAAATTCTCAGCAAAGTAGGTATAAAAGGAATGCACCTCAACACAATAAAGACCGTATATGACAAGCCCACAGCTAACATCATATTCAGTGGTGAAAAGTTGAAAGCTTTTCCTCTAAGATCAGTAGCAAGACAAGCATGTCCACTTTCACCACTTTTATTCAACAGATTATTAGAAGTCCTACCCAGAGTAATTAGGCAAGAAAAAGAGATAAAAAGCATCCAAATTGAGAGGGAAAAAGTAAAACTGTCGCTATTTGCAGATAACATGATATTATATACAAAAAAACCCTAAAGAATCCATCAAAAAACTATTAGAACTTGAACAAATTCAGTAAAGTTGCAGGATACAAAATCAATACACAAAAATCTGTTGCCTTCCTTTAAACTACCAATGAATTATCAGAAAAAATTAAGAAAACTATCCCTTCTTACAACTGCAACAAAAAGAATAGAATACCTCAGAATAAATCTAACCAAGGAGGTGACAGACCTGTATTTTAAAAACTGTAAGACATTAATGAAAGAATACACAATTAAGTGAAAAGATATTCCATACTCATGGATTGGAAGAATTAATATTGTTAAACTGTCCCTACTACCCAAAGCAATCTACAAACTCAATGGAATCCCTATCAAAATTTCAATGGTATTTCTCACAGAAATAAATAATCCTAAAAATTGTATGGAACCACAAAAAAGCCTGAATAGCCAAAGCAATCTTGAGAAAGAAGAACAAAGTTGGAGATATCATGCTTCCTGATTTCAAACTATATTACAAAGATATAGTAATTAAAACAGTGGTGGTGTTGGCATCAAACAGACACATAGATCAATGGAACAGAATAGAGAGCCCAGAAATAAACCCACACATATATGGTCAATTAATTTATGACAAAGGAAGCAAGAATATACAATGGGGAAAGGACAGTCCCTTCAATAAATAGTGTTGGGAAAATTGGACAACCACATGTGAAAGAATAAAACTGGATTGATATCTTATACATAACTCTCTTTAGTTAACAAAAGTTAATGCATAGTGGATTAAAAACTTGACTATAAGACATGAAACTATTAAACTTCTAGAAGAAAACGTAAGTGATAAGCTCCTTGACAAAGGTCTTGGCAATGATTTTTTTTTTTTTGAGTCTGACACCAAAAATAAAAGCAACAAAAGCAAAAATAAACAAGTGGGACTACATCAAACTAAAAAGCTTCTTCACAGCCAAGGAAACTATCAACAGAATCAAAAGGCAACCTATTGGATGTGAGAAAATAATTGCAAATCATATATCTGAAAAAGGGATAATATCCCAAGGATATAAAGAATTCATATAATTTGATAGCAAAAAAAAAAAGGTGGGGGGAGGAAAAGAGGGGAGAGTGATAGTGGGGGTTAGATCATGCAGGCAATTGTATGCATTAGAAGGACCTTGGCTTTTTTCCCTGATAGGAAGACACTGGGGGATTTTGAACATAAGAGACACACGATTTGACCTTGGTTTGAAAAGGATTCCAGATGCCACGGGAAGAAGAGACTGAGAGTAGGGTGGGACAGGGAGGTGGAAACAGGAAAATCAATTAGAATGTTGTGATAATGATGATGGCTGGGCAGGGAAGGTGATGAAACAGCAGTGAGAGTGATGAAAGTGGTTGTTGGATGATTCTTTTGAAGGTGGTGCTGACGATTAGATACGGAGTACAAAAAGAAGGAAAGATTAGCATTTTTAACCTAAGCAGTAGGAAGAATAGAAGTTACAGCTTACTCAGATGGGAAAGCTGCAGGAGAGATGATTAATTTTGAGAGGCGAGGTGGCAATTAGAGGTTCAGTTTGTGA